GTACTAAATAGCTTAAATGTATGGGCTGCGCTCCCGACCGATAGCTACACATAACAGTGCGAGAGCGGGCCGAGAAGTGGAGGCGCGAACTAGCCGTCCCTCAGCACGCTTAGCAGCGAGCGAAGCTCGGGAACTCGGGAGCGGGTTCCGGACCATCGAAGAGTGGGCGCGGGAGCGCTTTAGACTAGCCCGATGAGCAGTGCGCGAAGAGCCGACTTGCGGGAGTGCAAGAGCGGCCAAAGCTTTGGAGGCTCGGTGGACAGAGGCGGCGCCCGGCCGCCGCGAAGGCCTTGACGTGAACAGTTATAATTCTTAATTGTGTTAATTTCTCGATCTTTCCTATATCAGCTATATATATTTTTTTTTGAAAAAATGTTTGATCATTCTATGACAGCTATATGATATAGTCGTCCGATCCGTGAGAACGGTTAGTTATAGAAGACTAACAACAAAGTTCATTCAGATAGCTCAAAACTGAGAGTCTAGTTTGCTAGAAAGGGACAGACGGAGAGACGGACATAGCAAGATCGACTTGGCTGTGATCCTGATCAAGAATATATAATTTATATGGTCGGAGCTGCCTCCTTCACTGCTTCGCAAACTTCTAACTTAAACTATAACACCTGCAAGGTATAATGATTACAGAGATTGACAGAGCCAGCAATGCAAAATTTATATTTCTATACTTTTCAGAGTAAAAGTCCCCTTTACTGGGTTCCGCATAATAGTAAATTGTAACTTAAAAATAAAAAGAGAATTTCTAATTATATATTCATATTACCATCATTATTATATTTAGCAGTATATAGCTATTTTTATAGATTATAGACGTTACATCAAAGACCATGTAAAAAACTTGTTCCAACATTGATGGACGGCATCTGAATATATTTCCTCGTTTCTCCTATTTATATTTTGAGTGTGAGAAGACAAATCATGGATTGTGGCTCGAAATTCATACGAATTGAGTTAAATGTTAGATCATATGCGAACGCCTAATAGGCTGAGCATTGATACAAAATACGCCAGCATTAAAGCTATTGGGCTTAAATAAGAATCAAATGTAATTTATCGTTAAACTCAGAATTTTCCCGTTTCTATTTTCTTTATAAAGGCTAAGTAAAACTTCCATTCCCGTTATTCTATTTAAATAATGATTCAGTAATTAAATATATTTCAAACACTTAAACACTTACCTGTCCATATTGAGTAAATATTAATTGATTTTTGTAAAATTGATAATTGAAAGACAAAATGAAATATATGTATAACGAGAGCCACAACCATAAATATTAATGGATAATAATCCCCCTGAAGGAAAACAAATATAAATAAAAATTTAAATAAGTCTGACATATATCTATTACCGGTGAACTTGACGATACAATGCCCAATATGTGCCAGCTATGATAAACATCAAAAATATAAGCTTCCTGGTAGTGATGGTCTTAAAGTGCAGCAAAGTATAGTACAATAAGAGTAAAAATAGGAGCTATGGATTACAAAAATTAGCCAAGTTCAAAATTTAATGTTTAATTAAAGTTTAAACTTACATGTCCTAAAACTGATCGAATATATACAATAATCAAATAGCGATTCATATCCGATAACTTTAAAGTCCCAGTTTGTTCTTGACTTGGTTTGATAATACTTTATCCCTACATTTTTTTTTCTCTGCTTCTTATTGGAAATTTTAAAACAAATTAAAGAGACAAGTGTAACTAGAAACACAATTATATCTGGCAGAATCCAGTGCGCTATAGAACCGAAGCTAAAAATATGAATTATTTTTATCGTACAGAGTTTGATATTATTGATATTATTTGATATTACCTTAATCCTTTAAAGTAAAGAAATCCAAATTGACGTAAAATAATATCAGTAGATGTTTTAGAGCTTGCTTCAATAAAAAATAATTTGTTAAATTAATTAAAACATGTCCAATAAGAAACATTATACTTAAAATACAAAGAACTATTACAATACATTTAAAAAAGCAATCTGCGCATGACGGTCTTTTTTTAGAACCCAAGGCGATATGAAAAACATTAAAAGGTATAAAAAGATATTCCAACCGGTCGCACCAGTGACACTAATAATTGAAATATATGTTAAACGTTAGGAAAGGAGCGACTTACCAAAAATTAATATAAATGGTATTATAAAACGTATCAATGTATAAAGCACAGTTGCTGCCATTTTTTTAATTATTCACGTGCTCTTATAAACAAAGTTACTTCAAACTATCTATTTGACATTCAGCCGAAAAGTCACTAGATTTAGTTTAAGACTGTTTCAAGTGTAGGTTTATGACCGGTTTATGTTGGTTAATTTCATACAGGATATATTGAGATTATACATTTTTGTCGCTTTACCTTTTAAAATAACGACTAATATTGATGAAAATCTAAGATTTCACTGCTCCCTTTCGATCCATTTGCTCTCTTATGTACCGCACTGCTACTCACCGCTCTGTTTATTTGTTTTGTTACACTTTTTCTATAGAAATTCCTTTGAAGGCAGCTTTGATGCAATAGTCTCAGTCACTGTTCGCGACCATTGAAGACCAAAATATACCCTAGACTTCGTTGAAGTGGACAAACTCAAATATCCTAGTCGTTGTCGTCGTCTCTGGACGTTGATGCACTGTGTCAGTACATTCAAATGGCCTGTATGACACCAGGCACATGCCTGTTTGGATTACGTGTTAGTAGGCGCGATGTAAAATATAGGGCAGAATACGAGGAAATTGACTACCGGCGTGCTGCAGGTGTTACTTGCATGTTTACTAAGTGTGTTAGTATTCAAGATTTTAATTTGGGAAGGGTATCTATGTTCGAGATTAGTTGTACAAATCATTATAACTTGCACAAAATACTTAAGGGTTCATGTAGTTCAAAGGAGGTTTTACAATGGCTCAACACCACTGGGATAAAGGATCTAGTAGTTCTACATGGCACGTAGAAATAAGCTGACTCAACAAGTCACTTCACCATGGATAAGGTTAAAATAAAGGTTATTCCTATCATCGTTCTACGATTGGCTAAGGACGGAAAGTTTATTAATAGGAGTCTATTAGAGTAGGAAGGCAATCTTAGGTTTGCATCCCAATTTAAGCCGCGTAGAGCGAAAGTAAAAATTTTTTTAAACCGACTCGATGCGTTTGCTATGGACGCTGTACTGTAAGCCCCAAACGCAGCATCCATATTCTAAGATATGACGAACTAAAGAAGTATATAAGGATTTGATACATAGGGTCATTGAATTCCTTCGACCACCGTTTAATAAATCCAAGCACACCCCTGGCTCTATTCACCATAGACGAAATATGATCAATAAAGTCAATTTTGGGTCCAAGCGGACACCCAAATCATCAACAGAATTAATTCTTCCAAAGAGCAGCAGTTCAGCGTGTAATTAGCAAGCTTAGGAGCGACACGAGAGAATGTCATTAAGAAATTTATACGGCACCAAGTTTGAAACTATTGAGATCTGTTTGTAAATCCGACTGGCAAGCAACGTCATTGTATTGCACGCAAAGCTTCACGTCATCCGCGCACATAAGCACTCTAGAGTTAGTCAAGACTTTGGGCAGGTCATTATAAATAATGTAAGCAACAAGGGTCCCAAATGACTTCCTTGCGGACGCCAGAACCCTTAAAACATTGGATAAAGTATTCTTAAAGAGAACCTTCTGCGACCTGCCAATCAGATACCTTTAGATCCAATTAGGAAGATCACTTGGAAAACCCATTAAATCGAGTTTTCTAACGAGGAGACAATGGTTAACAGGGAGAAAGGATTTGTTTTAGGCTTACGTTTAGTGTTAAAAAAATTATAAAACTGTTTTGGGTCCTGTGAGAACTGGGACCTACAACGAGTTAAATAGTTTTTATAACAGTGCGCGTCAGCATGGTAAAGTTTAACCGAGCTTATAAATAAGATGAAAGGGCAGATTTAGAACCGGTGAATTCAAATTTAGCATACAGTCTAGTTTTTTTTATTTTTAAGTCGGCTCAACTCTTTTGTAAACCACAGCGGTTTATTCGAGCTTGGCGGATAATATAACGGAACACATTCAGTAAAATATGAATTCATAGTACTGTCAAAAATATCCACGGCAACTGGCATGTCAGTACAGATAAATAAATCGGACCAATTGAACTCCTTTATAAAATTATTCAGCCGTTCAAAGTCCGTCTTGCGAAAACATAGGACTTATTGGATGGACGGTCAGAAATATTCTGTACGTTACACCCGATATCAAGAGTCACATCGAAAGTTGGATGATAAGGATCTTCGGGCAGCGTCAGAGGCGCCACCCTTGCTACACTGGCTCTCGCAGGATCAGAGACGAAGCAAAGATCGAGCAAGCGCTGTAAGGAATTTCGCACATGGTTGACTTGAGACAGCGAAATGTCGTACAAGCCAGCGATAAAGTCATGTTGTGTAGGTGTATGGTGGTGGAATTATTGAGCACCAAATACCAACTTTTCTCTATCCAAAAGTTTACTGCAAACCATCTGAACAGCGGAAAGGTGATTCCAATAAATAGGAAGTTCCGACTTCTTTTGATAGATAGCTTCACACAAAGGAATTCAACATCGTTGCAGTCCTCGAAGGTTAATAATTCTGACGAGAATGAGGAGTCCACAGCTATAAGAACTCCACCCCCGCGCCTGATAGAGCGATCTAGCCGATATACTATGAACACAGCTGGAAAAACTTCGGAGCTCAGAATCTCCGGCTTTAGCCAGTTTCTGTGATCACAACAATCTGAGATGCAAACGAAAGGCTATCAGAATACAATGGAAGGGTGATTGCCTGTCTGAAGGCCCAGAAGCCCAGAAAAAACGAACCAGTGAACTGCTATCCAATAGCAAACGGGATATTAGCAGGATCACGGCAGTCACCACGGGACATTGGGTGATCGGATCGCACGCAATGAAGATGGGACTGCCCTACAATACAATCTGTAGAAGTTGCACGCAAGCTACAGAGAAAGAGGCACCGAAACATCTGCTCTGCTTCTGCCCAGCGTTGAATCACATCAGACTTCGCCACTTTGGTGCCTACCAGATGGAGTCACTGGGAGGTATAGGAAAGCTGAATGTTTCGGCAATCCTAGGTTTCCTTACTGACTCTGGTTGGTACTGATAGTGATAGCCTCTTGCATTTTGATAGGAAATTCCTAGGGAGTAGGTTAGTTTTTGGGTCGGGACTGTAAGACGTAGAAGGCGCAGTGATATGTTCAGGTCTGGGAAAAGTTATTCCTACAAGCCGCTTTTTCTTTCCTTCGCTTCGAACTCCTTAACAACAACGTACTCTGGCCAGAAGTTGGTAAAACAAATAGTGTTAAAGAGCTAGTTAGTGATATTTATTTTTAAACATGAAATATCACTTGCGTAAGAAAATTTAGACTTTTCAACCTTTATCTTTAATTTATCGGCTCTGGTGTTGCCTTGTATAAAGGCGAGAACATCTTCCGATGTTTGATCAGGGAGAGCCGCGATACAAAATATGGCTCGTAGGTAGAACCGCTATAAGGGCTTTTGGCAAGGCAGATTGATTATCTGCCGAGCAATTGTCGGCCGGTATTCCGGGCCTTACACCCTAGGCAGATATATGGTTATTCACGGGACTTTGAGGGGTCAATATTTGCGACCCGCCAGGGGACAAGACAGAAATCACCGGCGGTACGGCCACTCCCGCTGCACATTCGGGTACCGAATCTTTTCTAGCGCTCGATCTCACACTCTTGAAATTAATGCTGAGGTCGAGGGCTGTGCCGAGGGAGGTTGCTACAGAGAGCCCGTTGCAGGTAGTTGGGTCCGTCTGCAGGCTGCCCACCAATAGCAGTTTTTTGCGCCTAGGAGACTCATTTAATAGCGTAAGGTTATTAAATTGGGTGTCCAGCGCCAAGAACATATCAAGAGTTTACGAAAACTCGTTAAAATGCCGCGTTAAAACCGCTTTTGGTTTGCCGCATGAAAGACATCATTTCCATTTCTATATAGCGATAGGCTTTACAGCAGTAACTCAGGCCGATGTTTTTTTTTTACATCGTCCACCGTTCGAGCTTCAATACCAATTCACTTGGCGTGTATGACGTTGTCGCACAGCCAGCAGCCGATTGTAAAGTCACCTACAGAAATAGCCTTTTTGCAGGTTTTGGCGAAACAGACAATATTACGGACATTATAAGGACTTACCACTGTACTTTGTAGTGTCCAGCAGAGCTTTAAGCAATGCAGAACTATTCAACCCACCTCGCACTCAATTGATAAGAGCTTTTTCACTATCAATAAATCAATAATAGCTAAAGAAGCGTTTGAAGACCAATCACATTAGATTAAGATCGTATGATTGCACAGTTAGATAAGGCAAGCTCCCAAACTGCAGCTTACTTGCTTGCAGCTTCCCAAAGCCCAAATCAATACTCTCTTATCTCTCTTGACGAACGCTTGTGTTTATAAGACGTCGTCCAAATATTAATTGGAGACCACACGTATCTCAAAGTTACTATCATTTAAATTGTTATATTGAGAAAAGCCGTGATTATCAAAGGCAGTTTTTTGTGTGAATTTGTGCGAGAATAGAAGGTAAAAAAGTGCCGTGTTGTGAGTCCCAATAATAATACAGATTTTCGTAGGGCTCAGCTTCGAAGGCGTATCGGTGGCAGAGTCCCGGCGACAGCACCTTCTCTGCTCGCGAACATTTTATTCGAGCCAATTCCGCAACAAAGCGACAATTTTCGGCTCATTTTTTTTGGGTCCTACGATCCATAGACAGCGGCCAAAAGGAGACTTAACCTCCAGCCGCCCGGTTACGCAACCTGCCGCATGGCAGATGAGTGCTCCACGAACAAGCCATGTGAGAGATTCGACGTAGATCGGATGCATCGCCTCACCACTTGACCATTATCACCGCGAGGCGGCGGAAAAACTCCCCCATCTGGCCGAAGACCCAGTTTAGTGGTTCTGCACATCTCAGGGCGCAGTATACGCTGCGTGCAGCAATGTTTTTGTTTTGATTCTGATTTTGTTTATTTAATTTGATTATTTTGGCAACTTATTAATAAGCAAATACCCCGCAGATGGACATGAGTGTGGCATTCACGTAGACGATTAGGGCTATTTACATTTTTGACCAGCAGCTCTCAACACCAACGTGAACTTGGGCCCAACTTTACAGCGTATCAAGG